TATATTTAACAATATTTCATTATTAATAGTGGAATTGTGGTGTTCGTTGCGACAAGTACAAAGTCCCACGAGCGGAAAAGTACAAAATAAATACTCATTAGATATTTTTTTGACACAAAGTTATTTATTTTCGCTTTGAACAGGTTCGTTTTCCCCTTTTTATTTTGGGATTCCAATGCTACAAAAATGTTTTTTGTGTACACACGGGTGTTACAATCTTATCAATAAAATAGCGAGCTAGTTGAGCGACAATTACGCACGCTCCGAAACTTATAACTAATCCTTATACTCAGTGATGACATTCGAAATATTTAACAAAGGGTTCGCTAACAGAAAATTTTTCCTTAACAATTTTTTTTCGCTCAAATGGTGCATCGGAAGGCTCTATTTTAGTAGTGTTACAGAGAATAATACGTATATTTTAATATTTTTAAAAGAATCAAAACCATTGAGAAATGTTACATGTGTTTAACAAGGTTCGGAAAACTTTGAAAATGTTAACAACGGGTTCGGCCGAACCTGTGCGAACCCGCTGAATATCACCACTGCTTATACTACTTACAACTAAAGAAGGAAAAAAATGAATAGACAGATAAGAATAGTTTAAGATGAAGATGGAAATACCCGGGATTTTCTTGTGTTTGTAATCTTGGGTGGGATGCTACGCTGGAGCTTTACTTGGGACGTTACTTCTCGTCCTTCTTGTGGACTTCTCGTATGGTTCTTTCTGTGGCTCTCTTCAATGTTTCCGTTTAGGAATTTCTTCCTGCAAGTTCTCTGGCTTCACGTAGCCTCCAATCGCTTTATAGTTGATCTGGAGCACTACCTCATCTTTGCTCTTCTTCTTCTTCTTCGGAATTCAAGCCCAAACGTCTTTTTATCGAAGTCTCATAGTCTCCGGTGTCCTACACACGATACGGAGCCCTACTTTACCTCGTCCGTCCTCCTCAAGCTCTCGACCCAGACTCTCTTTCTCCTTTTGTCCTCCGGCCTTAGGATCCTACTTCACCCTTTGTTCTCCTCTCATTTCTTGGAATTGGTAATCCTATCCAAGGGAAAAAGGTTGGAAGGAAAGGATCTAGGAAAAGTAAGAAACAAAGGAACAAAGAAAAGTTAAAACTAACTAAATTTTTTAACTAAATTAACTAACTAAACTAAAAAATAATACATATTTTTATACAATTTTATGGCCGACGGCCACAGATTGGTCTATCAGAATTTGGAAAATATGGGGAAAAAAAAAGACATTTACTGGTCTCAAATAGATGTATCACATCCATATAAAAAAATGTTTATGCTTGATATTTTTTAGTTTTTTCATATAAGGTGTTTTATTAACTATTGTGAATACAGTGTACTGTATATATCAAAAATTCCTTTGTATTGGTTAACTTACTGGTATAATTGTATGTATCTAAGGTGGTACTATGTGTTGTAAGCTTATGAGGGGTCTTTGCACCTGAAATGCATCCTTTTCTAAATTTGATGGTGATTATTAAATACTAACTTTTTGTAAAAAATCTAGTCTATTTTTCCAGTCAGCCTCATGTGACAAGCCCTTCAAATTGTTAAAATCCTATCTATTAGGTTATCTAACTCTATCTAAATTAAAGAAAAATATTCAACAGCTCCGGAACTGTTCACTCTGCTAAATGCAGTCATTATCTTCCAGCACATCTTTATACATGTTATTGCCTGGGGAAAAAAGTAAAAGGAGGCACAAACATAAATAGTAAGAGACAAACAAAAGTTGGTCACTAGACCACAAAAGCCTTTAATACAAAATACTGACAGCTGGATGGCCAAACAATTAAGGTGTCAACCTACTGCTCTGGTGGATCTGAGATCAAATCCAGACAGGTAAAAAACCAGAATTTTTCAGCATTGGTCTGTCCCAAATATGTGGCCTTCATACCTCAGTTACCCCAATATGGGCCTGGTTAACCTAATCTAACTTAGTTTATCAAGTCAATTGTGATTTGCCACAACTAACTTGATAAAAAAGAAACTCTTGGGTGCCCACAGTGCAGAGACAATAAAGAGAATACCATTTCAAAAATTATAATAGTGTTTTGTATGTCAAACAACAAAACAGTTGCTAGAAGCATTTATAAAGCAGCTCAATAATCTTTATAGACCAGTAACAGCAAACATTTAATAAGAACTAACATTTTCGACTGTAAACCACGATCTTCATCAGGTTGTTTAACCAGTAAGATTCGAACATGGAATGTGTGGAACAAGTTTAAAAGTTATTTAAAACTACAGAACAATTTAAATGCGTATAGATAATTTGTAACTGTGCATGCTACCATAGTGATATTAATTATTGTTTATAGTGTAGAGATATTTCTAAGATATAAACAAAGGTATAGCAAAGATGCTAAATGCTAGTATTGGCCATTTTTTTCATAACAATAACTCCATGCTTAGGAGACCTTAATGGTATCCGTTGAATTAATGGAGTTGCCGGTTAGGCTGGCTTTGTAAATTTCCAACGTCTCAAGGTTCCTAAGGTGTTCAATTTGGTGTGACCATCTGACTAACTTAGCTTTTTGGAGGTTGGCTTGTATTTCAGGGTCTGATGCATAGGTGGAAAGGGCAGTGGTATTTCTTTTGTTAGTAATATCATACCTGTGCTCCTGCACTCTTTTGCTTAATGAGTGTTTCATGAACCCGATGTATATTAATCATTTTGGAATCTGTGATCTCTGTTTGTTCTTACTGGTCTATAAAGGTTATTGAGGTGCATTATACTTTCCAGTAATTCAGTAAGTTGTTTTATTTAGAAGCATTTATCAGAGCAAACATTATTTTTGACACATTTTGTAGCATTTCAACTTTTCATATATTTTATATGCTTTCATTGTAAATAAAACATTTTATAATTAACTATTTTCTTATTTAAAAAGGAAGAACCTTTCTTAAAATTTTGCAAGTAATTCAGAATGATTCATTCTTAGACATTCTTACTGGAACATTTTACATTATTTTTATCCTCTTATTTATAAAATGTCTTATAAAGCAGAGTCCTGCACAATGCAGAGGATAGGTTCCATGTTATGGGAAATCACATTATCAAGACATGATATTATCAGACAATTTTATGCAAGTTTAAACCTAGGCCTAGAAGTTGAAGAAGAAAGCGTATTCCTCTAGATGACAAAATTAGAATTTTGTAGGAGTACTAGTCACAATTTTTTTGTTGTGTTATCTTCTATATAGGAGTTCACTGTATATACCAGAGCTGTGGATTCAGAGTTGGAAGGGATTTCTGGCCAGAGGAGTTGGAGTCGACACATTTTTTTCGAGTTCGACATTTTAAATTTAATTTAGTTTTTTTTATTTAAATAAAAGAAAATTTATTTTATATTTAATAATTTTTAAAAATCTTTTTGTATTTTGTTATAATTCATTTATTTTAAATACAAAATGCAACAATTTAATTTATTAAGTATGTATCATTAGTTTTCTTTGTATTTGTGTTTAGTAGTTAAATTATTTTGACCCAATTGAATTTGAATATTTTTTATTCATTCCTTTACTATCCCTGCTCTTATTTAGAGCAGGAATAATAAAGGAATGAATTCGTTTTTCTGAATGAGCCAGACTAATTGATCAGAGTATATATTTTTATTTTCTGAACAAGGGGCTGAAATAGCTAGATCGCACACTTTTTAGTTAGACTAACTTTACTGGAAAGATGAAATTGAAGAGCAAAAGCTCTAGAATAAAGATATGTAGATGTAGAATTTTATTGCTCCCCCTTTTTCCTCTTATTAAATATTTGTTAACAATTTTTTTTTACAAATAAATACTAATGTAAGTTAAATATTAAAAATACTAACTNAGACTAACTTTTCTGGAAAGATGAAATTGAAGAGCAAAAGCTCTAGAATAAAGATATGTAGATGTAGAATTTTATTGCTCCCCCTTTTTCCTCTTATTAAATATTTGTTAAAAATTACTTTTTTATACAAATAAATATTAATCTAAGTTAAATACTAACTATAAAAGTATTTGGGTAAATGTCCAGGGCTCCTTTTAGAGTTCAGAGTAGGGTAACCCGCTACGAGTGCCTCTGCTCCCCATAAAAATTGTATTTAATGGTATTGGTATTTAATTTATGCTGGAGTCAGAAGTCGGAGTCGGCTTACTAAAATTACCAGGAGTTGAAGTCGAGTGTTTTTTTACAGACTCTGCAGCCCTGGTATATACATTGGTGTTTTGCATGCCTGCTGAACTTACATAAATCAACAGTATGTTAATAAAATGGATAATGTATTAATGATAAGTGGTGATAAATATAGAAAGATAAGAGCTGCAAAGTTTGATTTACTGTAATTTATTCTTATATGACAGACATGCACAATATGAGAATTTTATCATTCCTTCATGAGGATAAGTGTGGTTGTCCAATATGGCATGAAATATCTACAGTTTCAAATACTTTAATACTGGAACAGGATCAATTCCCTCTCAGAACAATTTGAGTCATATTCAGACCTTCCTTGTGTAAAACTTTCAGTACATTTCTTCATTCTAGGTTTCATTTTGCATATGTTGGACATAACGTACAGTTAGTTGTCAACACAACAGTTACATGCTCAAACTGCACACAGCATTAGATGACATCAAAATGACCAATTTAGTGTGTCTTTCATTTATATCAATAGATGATATAGCCAAATATGTATAATGCAACTTTGCAATGAGATAATGTAATGTTGGTTCAATATTTAATAACTATTAGTTAAATTACTGTTCTCATTAATGCTATATTTAGCAAGAAATATGCATTTTTCAGTAGGCTTACAATATTTTAGAACACTAGTGAACAGTATATTTATATAGTACTTGTAAACACTGTATAAAAACATTTATCTGATCAATATATTTATGAACTTCTCAAAAATATAGATATTGAAAAATTAATATATTCATATAATTTTATACGATATCATTTATTTTTTAAATTTAATTATTAAAATTTATTTCAGATACATTTGACAAAGAAATCTTTCTTTGGAATGAGCCTGAAGAATATGCTATAATTTTGTGAGAAATAAAATTACATAGCAGTCAATATATAAAACTGCTTTATGTAAATATGTATTATATTGATAAAATAAATTCCATTATTTTGTTTTCTTGAACATCATTATTTTAAAAACCTTATATTATAAATATACTGTACACTGTACTGTATATAGTTATACATATATTGTATTCAGATTCTCATTATAAACTATCTTGAGATTGTAATATTTTGCATTATATTTAAAATTTTTTAAATTTATAACTCAGTATACTATAACACCTTGTAATTTTTTCCTCCCTTGAAATAAATTTTATTTTGATCAAAATCCCAATTTTTATACAATATAATCAGCAGATAGTTTTAGACTTTTGACTTTGGCCCTGTGCATTAAATGCTTCAGATACAAACTCAATATTCAGAATTCAGTAATGGCTAAGATATTAATCTTGTACAACTACAACTTCAAGCTTTACATTGCATAAATTTATACTAGACATCAAAATCCCCATATGTGTAGAATCTTGCACAACTTAAAATTGTCATTTCTGAAATTAATTTATTGATAAAAGCTGCTTGTTGTATTGGCTTTGGAAGATGTTTTATTTGATATTATATCTACAATCATAAAATTATAGGTGAAACATTTAATTTTGATTATTGGTATAGAAAATTAAACAATATACATTTAATTAAGACAATACTGTACATATAAATAACCATAAAGTTATGAATTCTTAAATTATGAATTTTTTTAATATGTGTATTGAAAACTAAATTATAAATAAGACTGGCATAAGCTGTTTTAAACAACTGAAATGTAACATCTCACTAGAATTTGGATTTCTGTTCTTATTCGGGACTGAGATATAACATGTAATGTAGACCAGTTACAAATGTAGCTACTCACCTAATATATTAATAAAATCAACAAAAATCAGATAAATTTTATAATTGACTTATCAAATAAACTCTTAATTTACATAACTAATACCCTGTATTTTACGTAAAAGCCTAAATGAGGAAGGATATTCTTTTTGGCCCAGATTGGATGCTCTAAACGGTTGGATGTCTTCCCAAGGCCAGAGTTTGGATCAAAGTTTTAGATGCCATCAAGTCTGTTGACCTATTTCTTATTTGTCATTTTAAACAACTACAATCACCCAACAGATAATTCAGCAGATTAATTGATTGTAATTGCCAAACAATCATGCAATACTGTAATAGTAAATAACAAAATAGAATATATAATTATAAACTCCATTAGTTCTATTATAACTAACATTACATATATATTTAACATGAGATAATTCATGTCTACAGAAATAATAGTGAAACATATAGTTTGATTTAACCCCACTTCCAAACCTATGCAAACTTATTTGTAATGATAAAGACAAATTTTCCACTCTTGAGAAATCGGGGGTCTATGCTGTACCTTTGGAAAATCAGGCAACGGGAGTAAACACAAGATATATCGGGGCCACCACCAGAATGCTTTCCAGCCGTCTTGATGAGCACCAAGACAATGTTAGGAGGGGAAGACACACCACCGAGCTTGCAAGAAAGGTACTTGAGCAGGGTTACAACCCGCTATGGTCCCAAGCGGTTATGCTCAAGAGCTGCAAGGATTGAAAAACTGTTTTTATATGGAAATCTCTCCTCACTACCACCTTGGACACTTGCAACACCCCTACGCTCGAGCTGCCTAGTGTATGGGTCATGCTGTATAAGCGTTTAAGCGAGTATTAGCAGTCTCTAGCGAGTATTAGCAGTCTCTAGCATGTAGCATGGCTCTGCGCATGCGCCAGCTCGCACTTCATGGAGCTATCTGTCATTCGGTTTTCGAATTATGTTTAAATATTTACTTTGTGTTCTTAACGGCTTTAACATAATTTCAACTTATCTTATGCATTCTATTCTGTATTCGATTATTTTTGTTTAAAATGTTTTGATAAATATCTGTATTCGCCTGAGGACGACAACAATAAGTTCGTTGAAAGTGCTAGCGATAAAAAATGCATGTAACGCTGAACTCAGTGTCTTTGTTTTTGTTATTATTGATTTAGAATTTGCAACATTTCAAAAATATTATATCTTGAACTAAATTTGGCTGCAGAAATGTTAATGAAATTTACAGATTAAGGCATGTTGCCAACCAGAGCCTGCAATTCATTACAGGATTGATTACTTTTGAAATTAAAATATGAATTTGAATTCTTGTAAAGATTCACATAGATTGTTACCAGAGCCTATTCGGCCATCAGCTGTGTTGACCAATGTTACCATTTCCCAGGATGTGGACCCAGAGGTTGGATTTTGGGAAGCGTGTTTGGATTATGAAATATGTTCTTTATAATGCACGTAAATGGCATCGTTGATGATTGAATACGATGAATGTGTTGTTGTTTCTGTGCATGGATTTGAATTACTAAACTAATATAAGTATAACAAAGAAAAAAAATTAAAAGCAGGTGTATAAGTTGTCATCTGATGTTCAATGCCCTTTGCTTTTAAATGATTTTTAAACTCTGAATTAATAAATTCAGTACCATTATCTGATCTTATTCGCTTAATTCTCGTGGATGATTGATTTTTCAATATTTTCTATAGTTTTTCAAAATATCTACTGTATCAGATTTGAATGTAAGAAATTTGGTAAATATCTTTCTAGAATAGTCATCTACAATGGAGAGTACATACCTTGCACCTCCAATTGACTTACATTGAATCAAATTCCCATTAAATCAATATCCCATTAACCCATTGGCCCATTAAATCAATATGCAAAAGATGTAAAGAACATTCATATTGCCTTACAGTTATTGATTTAACTGGTTTTTGATAAAACTTTGCTTGGATACATTGTTCACATTGTTCAAATGGCTTGGATACATTGTTCACATTGTTCAAAGGCTTACATTTTAACTTGTATACCAAATTATGTATTGTTCACTAAAATATTCATATAGTTTCCACGAATATGGCCAAGCCTCTTGTGCCGTACATTCCAGTTTCATTGCTGGTTTTTCAAAGCAATGTTACAATATGCTTGTGCTGGAATAATATAAAGATTGTTATAACTGGTGTAAAAAGAAACGAAGTTTCCCTCTTGGCCTATTATTTTACAACCTTCGGTATTAAAAGTAACATTCTTATTATCTTAAACTAATTTGCTTACGGACATAAAATTATCACTCAGTTCAGGAGAATACAATATGTCCTTCAACTTGAATTTGTTTAAACATTACCTATTATAATATTTACTGTACTTCAGAATGAATGAATGTATTATTTGCATGTGCAATGGTTTTCTTATTTATATGTTTATTTTCAACAATTTCAAATTAGATGTCATATGACTAGTTGCTCCACCACCTACCACCCAATCTTCAGAATTTGAACTGCAAGTCAGTACTTTCTGCTGACTTGCAGTTCAAATTTGTGGTGCAAATGTTTTCTGGTAATTCTTGAAGCTTTATATTGTGTTCTAAATCCACTTGAATTAGGCACCATTTGTTCAATATTCCCTTTTCTGGGTTTATTCACAGGATTATACCAACAGTCTGCAGCCATGTCCAAATTTTTGTCAGACATAACATTGAATTTCCTTAGTTGGGTATCTATATTATTGCTTGCTGAATACTCTATTGTAATGTCTAAAACTTTGAAGTTTATATGCTGAGAGTTCTCTTGTTCTTTCATTTTCACATCTTTCTTTTCTCGTTCCTTTGAAATGCTCTTCACAATTCCAAGATTTTTGGGTCAATGAACTTATCAAATTGCATAGCAATGTTGTTATATTTTTGAGGTAATCCTTAAAGTAAGGCAGTAATAAACTCATCATCACCAATTTGAGCATCTAACACTTGCATTCTCTAAAAGTTTCTCTGCTTGTAATACTCTCTCCAGAATTCTTCTCTTTTCATTGTAATCCTCACACATCACCAGTATTTCTTGTCTCTATTGCCTATCATTTAACTTCACCTTCATGTTGTTTACTTAAATTCCAAATTTCTCATGGAGTCTTACAATATACAATATAAAATTAAAGCTAACTGTTCGTCACTCATGGCAAAAGTAATTCTCCTAGCTCACAAATCAGTTTTTTCCAGTTTGCCTTTCCAGCTTTATCGTCTGGAGAGTCTTCTGTTAATACATGTCCTATTTCTTTACTTTCTAGTATCAATATTATTATATATTTCCAACTTGTAAAATTATCATCATTAAAGCAGGAAATCTGACTCACTCCAGCTTCAGCCATACTATAACTCTATATGTTTATTCTATGGTACAGTACAATAAATTATCTACTATTAATAATGCATTTCTGAGACCTTGGTCCATAACTATTTGTTGTAGAATAGTATTAAAATACACGAACAATTAGAAACTCTATAACAATTTAATTATTCAAAATCAACATGCATCAACTACAACATTAATTCTATAAAGCACCCCTCTCAGGCTCTATTCTCTATACAGGTACTCCTCACTTTACAACTGAGTTCCGTTCCAACGACTATGTCGTTAAGCGAATTGGTCAATAAGCAAGGAGCTTGCGCCGGAAATATAGGATCATTGTAAAATTATAAAAATTATGCAACAAACTTCAGATTTATTCAAAAAAAAGACATGCATATGTAGTACATATTATCATTTGTTTATTTGGTTATCTGGAGCTGTAGAGGTTTTTTCCAGGTAAGGGAGAAGACGATGTTGAAATAGAAGTTGTACAGTACCTTCAAGGACGGAGGTCTTGGATGTAACAGTCGAAAAGAAACTTGTAACTGTGGTTTGCATTGTAATCTTTTTTTCTTTATAAATTTCTCTATAGTACTTCAAAAGTTCACATCACACGTTCAACTTTATGTTAAAACGTTCGGTATCAGGATCCATAGCCTCACGTTCCGACATAGCCGCATTAATTTTGGAGAACACACCAGCTAATCCAGGTGTACCGTGAATTTCTTTTTCATTTCTTCAGTTCTTTTGTCTTCTTCCAAACACTGCATCACTTCTAACTCTATTAAATCTTCATTTGTTAGCTCTCCATTGGCATAATCCACTAATTCAGCAATGTCTTCCACTTCAACATCTAAATTAAGTGCATTGGCAAGGCACGCAATTGTTTAAATTACATCAAACTGACTAAAAAAAAATGCATAGCAAGCCTATACTACGCTCAGTGAGCATATCACCAATCAACAATCAAGCTGAGAAAGGGGATTTCCCGAATTGCAGATCGAAACTCAATTGGTCGTAATCGTTAAGCAGATAGGTCGTAAAGTGAGGAGTACCTGTAATTTACATTTTTTATACGATTTTTTACACTTTATCACATCGTAAAATTATATAATAACACCCTCTGGACCATTCACTACCAATACTTAATAACACAAATGCCCCTCAAGCCACCATGCCAAATGTCGTTTCTTAATCTTTACCCCATTTTCAGATATTACGCAAAATAGATGCCAACACACATACACACAACTATGGAATTATTTTGACATTTATTTATTTATTATTTAATCACCACTCTGAAAATTAAGCTATCTGCCATTCTATAATAATTAAAAATATAGAAAGTTTTTATAACAAAATCACATAACAGATGGCGCCACACACAATTTATTTTATTATAATTTAAAGTATAAAAGTTGTTTTCTAAATAAAATCTCACAACAGCCGAGAAAGTTACGCAACTCGTTGCTGTTGATAGATTTTTTTTTATAAAAAAACAGTTATATTTCTTGAAACGAACGATCTTTTTCTCAGTTTGAATATAGAAAGATCTATATTTGATTGTTTCGTGTAAAATACATACACGATATTTTCTATCGGTCGGGTGAATTCATAAAATTTGCTTATTTAATATACTAATTAACGTTTACGTAACTAAACTATAACACGCATATTTAATATAACCGATGACGTCAGGTAAGCGCTCTTAAAATGGCGTCGGATAAACGAAATATTACGAAATTCAGTAAAAATTGCGCTGTCGGTCAATCGGAAACTTGGTCGGAAAATACCGGACGAAGGAGAGGGAGGATTTCTTCTAGTTTTGGGGGTGGCGAGGTAAAGATGACGTTCGATTTTAGAAAATCTCGCTTCTAAACCCTTGTGAAGAATGGAAACCGAAGGCGGAGGGCGGTAGGGAGAGTCTCGATCCCAATCCGTCGTCACTCGGGGGATAGAAACATGAAAAATGCAGATATTTAGCCTTAAAATTCAAAAAGAATCCGTGACGTCAATCGCATTCGAATTCGTTGCGAGCTTTCTAATCTCGCAACAATTGCCGTTTCTATGGAAACGCGTATTGTTGCAACACGATTTTGCGTCACTTTGCACGTTTTTCGCTTGCCGGACGGACGTGTGCGCTCTTTGCTCTTGTTTCTGCTGTGTTTTTTGCCTTTTTTACGTGGTTTTAAGAAGACTTGTGGACGCCGACGTTACACCAAGTAAGATTTTAATTAGAATTTAGCTAGCCGTAAGATTTTACTTTCGTTTCGTTTAGTCCATCTTTCGGAGACGACATCGGCCGACTCGGACTTTGCATATTTGCGTTTTTCGTTTGAATAACCATCCGAAACGCTTTTAAACCAGCCGCCACATTGGAAAGCAACCGAAAAGGATTAAGTATTTGTTCATTGGTTTATTTTCGTAATTAATTAATTTAGATTATATTTTATAAACACGGTCGAAGAATAAGGATTATTTGCAAATATCTTATTTATAGAAATTCAATTAAAATTTAGTTAATGCTAACTCTAAATACGAATTGCGTATCGTAATTTTAACTAAAATATATACACTCGGAACCGGATGGACAGAAGGATAAACGGAGACCGTATTCTGAAGCATAACATGTTCCTTCGACACATCCGGGACGTCAAAAATTTCGCCCTTTAACCTCCGACTTCTCCATTAAATCTATGTATTAGTTACAACGCTTTTCAATGGCTTACTTTGCGAGAATTAAATTGCCTGCATCTCTGTACCGTTTAAAACACATCTAATACACTTAATAGTTATCTATACAGGCTGGACACAAAGAATTCTTTTCCTTAAGCTGTTTGTCTCTTTCCACAATGCAGTCTTTTCTGAGTGCAGTCCATCTTCCACACTTACGTAACCCTCTGCAAATGCTTTGTGCCACTTAAACGTCGACTCTCGTGCGCAATTTCTCTCTTAAATGCCGTCGTTGCGTTTATGTGACGCACGTTAGGGTAAATTGCTCTAGAACGAAACACTTGTTACGACTTGGACTTGAGTACGAGTGCCTTTTGCGCATGGCTATGTGCGGCGTGTCTACTTTTCTGTCGTACAAATACAGATTACACGTAAGAGAGTTTAATCGTTCCGGGTCGGTCGTCTCTACTGCAAATGCAGTTCGAACGTTCTAGAAATTTCCGATAGGATCTAACGTGAGCTACACGAATTCCGATCCGTCGTGAGTATAATCTTGAACTTTTTCTGCGTTAAGTATATCCGAATACCATTAAATTAATATATGTTTTGTGTTTCTTTACAGAATGAAGAGCTGGCGGTTTTGGCGTTGGCTGCGGCCCAAGAAGATGAAGAAGTGTGAAGGGCGTTCTCCTTCCGCAATAGATGAAGAGAGGGTCTTTTCCCCCTTTGAGCGGGGAGAGGAACTCTCTTCCATCGATTGCGGAAGGGGTTCTTCCTTCACGGGATCGCCTTCGGGAATAGCGGATGTCGACAGCATTCTCTGTTCCGCGTTGAACGGAGACGAGACATTTCGCCATTCGGACGTGTTCCGAAAGGTGAAATGTCTCCATGTTGACGACATCATCTTTGACGCACTGGGAGGGGAGGAATGTTTCGATCATTCCTCCCTTTTCCAACGAGTGGGATCCTCTCGTTCGGTGTGGGCAAAGATGGAAAGGAAAAAGCGTCGCTTCGTAAGAGAAGTGAACGACTTTTTCCTTTGCTATTTCTGAAGGATATTACTAACCTAGGATAAGAAGGCAAGAGGTTTTTTTCGTTTGTTTTTTCCTCTTGTCATACTAACAACATTTAAATTTAAGGTTTTAGTTTCAATTTACTAACGTAGGATAAGAAGGCAAGAGGTTTTTTTCGTTTGTTTTTTCCTCTTGTCATACTTATATTTACTAATTTAGGATAAGAAGGCAAGAGGTTTTTTATTTTTTTTTCCTCTTGTCATACTAACATTCAAACTAAAACCTTAAATTTAATTTACTAATCTAGATGTAAGAAGACAAGGGGTTTTTATTTTTTTTCCCCTTGTCGTACTCACATTAGTTTAGTAATTCACATCCACGCACATAAACAACAACATCCCTCACGCTGAAACACACAGTTCAAACAACGACACATTCGTCGCATCCAATCACCAATTATTCCATTCACGTGCATTATAAACAACACCGTTTAACAACACGAACACGCTTCCCAAAATCCAACCTCTGGGTCCACGTCCCGGGAAGCGGTAACATCGGTCGATACGACCGATGGCTGAAGAGGCTCTGGTAACAATTTACTTTTGATATTAAAATCTGAATTTGAGTTGTTATAACGAAATCATCTACTTTTATCCAAATATTTTTTACTGATGTGTGTGTGCGTATATATATATAAACATGCACACACAGTGGAACCTGCCAATGTGAAGGTGGCCATGTCGGTCACACGGTTATTTTCCTATAGTGACCAGTTTTATTTGGCCTGAAATTTACTGGATAGATTTTAGGAATTTTTTCCTCTCTGTATCGCGACCACTTGCTTATTGTGTAATGCGATTACAGTTAGATCTCTTTTTGTTGAAATGTACCTGTTAAAGTGATCACTCTATAGGAAGAAGCTGGTAGGTTGCGGGTTTTTGAGTTACTGGCGATTCACGTGGTGTGGACAAGAAATTCTACTTGCAGGTCAACATTGTCTCCCACATATTGTAGTATTTTCCATTTTCAGATGTATGTATTCTCCATATAGTGACCATTAATCTTGGTCCTTAGGGTGTGGTCGCCTTAAGCAGGTTCTACTATGTTTGTATTTTCATATAAAATTTCAAATTATATATCTGCAAAGACTTCAACTAAGTATGAATTTATTAAACATTAACTAAATACCTCGTCAAAAATATTGTGTTTCCAAAATCATGAAATTGTTTAAAATTTTATTTTAAAATATTTATTTTTACTTAAAATTTATTGCTGTATATAACAAATGAAGACAGCACGAATTAATAATTTAACATTAAGATAATTAAAGGGGCAGGAGGCCAGATTAATTATACCGTATATGAACTTCCAGTCTATGGCAGAAGTGACGTGATTTTAATTTAAAAATTTTCCCACAACAAGGTTACACAGATGACCGGCAGGACACTATTGTTATCGGGAAAAGTATGATGTACAGGGGCAGGATGCTGCTAATTTGAGGAGAACACACATTTAAATTAAATAAATTAAAAATACAATTAAAACTTGTAGCTTCACATTGTGATGATTTGACATTGCTCATTATTCGAAGTTTAAAACTCTTCTTGAAAGTTAAGAAAATAAAGTCTTTGCAGAGTCTTACTTCTCTTGAGATGCGAGACGTGAAACCCCTTTATTTCCTTATCTTCGACATTTAACCAGCAAAATTTAATAGCATCAATGCCCCTCACAAGCCATCGTGCAAAAATTTTGTTTCTTAATCTTCACCCCATGCTGAGATATTAAGCGAAATCTATATCTATAATAATATTATAAAGAGGTAATGTTTGTTTGCAGCAGGTAATCTCCGAAACTACTCATCCGATTTCAAAAATTCTTTCACCAATATTTAGTATGAAACCTCAGGGTGGACATAGGCTGTATATTATTTCGTTAAACACTCATATAAAAAGATATAATCTAGGTTAAGGCTTTTCTGTCCAACAGTTGGCGCTACGAGTACGACGCCCTAAGTTTGCTTTTCTGTGAGGCATTACGCTTTTCTGTGAAAATGAACTAAAGCAGATCATCATCTATCTATCTATATAAATAAGAATATAATGTTCGTTTGTTCCTACTGATTCCTTAGAAAATTTGACATAATGCTGCATTCGAATACGCACATATTTTTATATAATGTACATGTCGAAATTCCCCTCACTGGGGGAAGATGGACAGGATTAAGGCTTACCGTGAAGAACTTGGCTTCTATTACAGTCAACCCCCCTATAACACTGTTGATTATTCCGTTTTATATGAATTCCATGTTGCACGAGTCACTTAGATTTTACAAATACGTGTGCCGGGCTGTGAACGGCTCACGTATTTGTAAAATCTAAGTGACTCGTACAACATGGAATTCATATAAAACGGAATAATCAACAGTGTTATGGGGGATCGACTGTATACTATTTCAGATGCGGTTTTTTGAGTTTTCGATTGCGTTTTAATAGGGTACGTCAAGAAAATGTACACTAAGGGATTTTTCGAAAAATTCTCCCCCACGGGGGAAGTGTTATACATTTATAATAGATACATTTTGAGCCACAACAACGCGTGGCGGGGTCTGCTAGTATTAGATAGATGCCAACACACGCACACGAATTAATCTACTAACTTTGACTACAGTATTTAGAATTTTTTCTTTATAATTTTTAATTTATTGCTCAGTCTATTTCTTTTAACAATATGTTTCATATAACCCATGATTTCAAATTATCTTAATTTTTGTTATCTGGTCCATAACCATTCCTGTTTAGAATACATAATCAATACTACTGCTTACTGATAGACAATTAAATGAAGACATTTTATAATTTTTATCCATTATCAGATTGCAAAGCGTATCGTAATTTTAACTAAAATATATTCCGGTAACATTGACGGCATTTTGAAGCATGGGATATTTCTTCGACGTCAAAAATTTCTTCCTTTGACCTCCGACTTCTCCATTGAATTTATATATTAGTTACAACGCTTTTCGATGGCTTATTTGACCAGAATTAAATTGTCTGGTAGATACTAAAGAATTATCTGTTGATAGATTCTAAAGTAGTAATTGCATCATAGATATTAAAAAGTTAGTATGAATGAATAAAAAATAAATTGAAAAAAAATTATTAATATTTACTTTTAAAATTTGAAAATGATTTCATTATATTGATAACAATTGATTAACACTTTTTCAAGAATTCATCATCAATCATCATTGTTAAATTTCTAATCAGAAGTTCAAAGTAAAGTTTCGTTTGTTGGCATCATTTAAATTCCATTAGATTACAGAATTAAAATTACAGCAGCATAAGAAAAAAGAAGAATCAAATGGGCATAATGAAGTCTTTGCTTTGGAACTTGGTCTTTGCGGTATGCATGGCAATTCTTTGCATATATTTAGATGTGAAAGATCTATTCGATTTTCTTACGGCTCTGATTGCATCGATCATCTTGGTAAACATAACAAAGATTTTAACGGAAGTTATGACATCTTTTCTCCAGTTATTAATCCAAATCCTAGTACCTTTGTTAGTAACTTACTTCCTGACATCATCTCTGTTATCTCTAATGGAAAATTCTTGTAAAACCAGCACTTGCTCTTCTGTCATTAAATGTCTATGCGACTTTCAAGGATGGTTTATGTAGCCACCAGCAATTTAAAATACATATCTGAGATTTACTTGACATTACAATATAATTTTTCGGCTCGTCATATTTATGTAAAGCGATAAGAGAATAAAATATGCAAAATTCTTAAATGTCATTTAACAATTAAACATGTTATTTTACTTTCCCGGCTTCGTTGTATATAACGGGGAAAGTATGGCGATCGGTTAAAAAATAAACCCCCATTTTACATTTTTTTTTAACATGGGACCTTGAAACGTCGAAAAATGCAAAAAGAATTCGCGGGTAATTTCTGTATTAGTGTGTGTATGTGAGGGCACAATTTAATAATTAGGGGATTGATGCTATTAAATTTTGGTGGTTAAAGGTCGAGGAGTTGGAGAGATAAAGGGGGTCGTGTGTATCTCCAGGGGGGCCGGACTTAATGAAGATTTTTATTTGTTATTAGCATTTATAATTTTTTTATATAAAACCTATCCCTATCCTCAAAATTAAGGTTTTTGCCATTTTATAATAATTAAAAAATATAAAGAGTTTTAAAATAAAATATTATAACAGATAGTGCCACCAAATGTTGCCGGAAAAGTTAAGCAACTCGACTCTTGGATTTTAAAAAAATGCATTGATAGGCATAAGCGGATTCGGATGCATAGGATGCTACTCTTAACCAAAAATTAAATTATAATATTCAAAATGTTTATATACGCGAAGAAATGTAAGCAGCTTGTTTTTTATTTACATTTTCTTCTTTTTACACCAGGAACCGCCAGTCTATGGTATGCGCACCAAAAATGATTTTTAATGTTACCGGACGATTCCTCATCTTCAGGGAGGCGCGAAGAGGATCGCGCCTCCCTGAAGATAAGGAATCGTCGATCTAAATAAACGTTCGTTGTTGTGAATTGTGGAATGTTACAACATTTATATGCAGCCGGACGACCGAGGCGGATAAGGAGTCAGCCTTCCGCTCTGGAAATCGTAGGCGATCAAAAAATATCAAGCATTTTTACGGTGTGGTTGGTACCCAGACGCTATGCCTTCAGTTTTAAAATACTTGGCAAAACTAGCCCATTTCTGCAACACATGTTTGTAGCGTTTGTGCTAACTAATATCACTCCTCTTACATGGTGGCACTCACTACGTGACAATTGATGAACCTCTTTTACACAGCTGTACACAGCAGTGGCTTCTTCAGTGGGAATTGAGAGAATTTTCTCTACCTATGGACTTGTTCATTCGAAACTTAGAAATTGACTTGGACAGGAAAAAGGCAGCAAAGCTTGTTAAAGTTTTCAAGCACCTAAACAAACACTACTGAGCGTTGTACATTTTTGAAAATAAGAAATTCTTCAAGCTGAAGAAGCCACTGCTGTCAATCCTGTTTTGGTGTTTGTACAGTAATGTACATGAAAATCTTAAAAATGCCATTCCATAAAGAAACATTTAAAAATGCTATATTTTATATTAAATAAAATATTCTGTACATTCTTGAGTCTTACACTGAAGTTTTTCTATTTTACTAGATCAAGTGTTTTATTT